AACATTGAATTGTGTATTATAAGTTGCTAATCAAAGTCTCCTGAAACTAACATGCTCATACTCAAAATAAATAAAATCATCGTATGAAACACCGCTCTGAGAACTCAGTGGTTTGGCATTTGTGTGAAACAGCTTGTGTTTTGTCGCTTGGTAAATGGAGAGGCCGGCCCTGTATCTGGGTCAGGGGCTGCTAATGTAGGTGAGGAGAGGATTGCTGGATTAAGTCCTCTTTATCTCCTTTTGCATAAATCTATTCATACAGAATGAATGAATGACAACATGAAAACATTAGCTGCCTTTTTTAATTTTTTAGTGTTTGTTTATACTGGTTTTTTTTTTTTTTTTTTTTTTTTTTTTTTGGGCTGTGTTTGCCATAATGGAACATTGAATTGTGTATTATAAGTTGCTAATCAAAGTCTCCTGAAACTAACATGCTCATACTCAAAATAAATAAAATCATCGTATGAAACACCGCTCTGAGAACTCAGTGGTTTGGCATTTGTGTGAAACAGCTTGTGTTTTGTCGCTTGGTAAATGGAGAGGCCGGCCCTGTATCTGGGTCAGGGGCTGCTAATGTAGGTGAGGAGAGGATTGCTGGATTAAGTCCTCTTTATCTCCTTTTGCATAAATCTATTCATACAGAATGAATGAATGACAACATGAAAACATTAGCCAACATTGAAGTGTAACGTTATTTCTAGTGTCAGTCACTCTCTTCGGGTCTCTGGTTGATGGTGAACGGTTCTGTTGAGGAGGTACTGAATTTGAACATTCACTTTAGGACAAATATGGAGAATTTGTTAGACAATTTATGTTCATGCATTGTTTAGGAAATGATATAGCCAGATATTCAATACTGGTCACTGATGAACCCATTTGACCCACTATAGTGGTTGCAGCCCTCACTTTTGAGTACCCTTCCAAATGCATTGCAACATCCCAATAAATGCAGTTTTTTTTTTTTCAGTATCTTCACTCTGCTAGTGCTGTTCACCTGTTTACCTGCCTGTGTCAGAAATATGCTTATGCTAGAGAAGAAAGGAACATTGTGTCAGACTCCTGCCGAAACTTTGGCTGCAGTATTTGCTTTGTGGGAAATCTCTGTCCATGTGGGCCTTCTCCAGATGGGCCACTCGGGTCGGGTTACATGGCATGTTTCAGGCCCCCTCCTCTGTACCGACCTCTCCTCTCTCATTCAGTGAATAATCCCTGGTTAGGAGAGAAAGAAAGAGCATGGCTGAGACAGAGCTCGGTCTGTACTCTAATGTAAAGCGAGCATTAGTGGAATGAGATTAGGGTCCATCTCTCTTACGCACTGTCTGGTGCCGAGGTGCGTGTGATGGTGAGAACTTGATGTAAGAAAGTGACGATGATGATGATGATGATGATGATGATGGTGGTGGTGGTGGGAATAATACATCACCTACCTCAGGAAGCATCTGTGCATTTTTATTCAGTGTTTTGTTTCGAGGAAAGATTTATTTAAAGTGTAAAATGTGTGTGTGTGTGTGTGTGTGTGTGTGTATATATGCATGCGGTTTTAGAAATAGATACTATTACTTACTAATATTCTATCAATAATATTAAATGATACCGTTAATAGATGGATGGACAGATTCTGAATAATATTCAGAGTAACAATCTGAATCAGATTTTTGAATATTCTGAATTAATATAGATGGATTTCTGCACAATGTTCTGAATAACAATATGAATATTTTATGAATATATCAAATAGACAGACAGGTAGGTTAGGTTTTTGAGAGGGGATAATCCATTAGTTCAGAGCTAATGCTAGCATGCGTGCGTGTGTGTGTGTGTGTGTCTGTGTGTGCGCAAGAGAGATGGCCAGAGGGATGTAGTGTGTATTAAGATACGATTAGTAGAGATTAAAGCTCTGCCCCAGAGTTTGTGCAGCTCCAGGCTGGAGGAACAAGCCCCCCGCAGAGACTGGAGCTGTCAGCCCCGTCAGAGCCATATCCTCTCCTTAACACAATCAATACCTCTGCCCCATATTCCCCTGATGACACAATAACACCAGACGGCCATTTAGCATTTGTCTGAGCTAATGGCAACCCTCATAAAAAGATCAAACTAATGTGGATTCCTATACATTTACAGCTCTGAGAGAGTGTTACTGTAACTTTAGGCCTGTTTGTGTTAGCAAAGCTCTTGTAATTTCCAGTTTTCCTCTGTCTGTTTATCTATGGGGAACAAGTGATGCGAACCTATACTCTCAGAATAAATGTTAAAAAAGAGACAAAACCCCCTTCTTAACCTTACATATACATTAATCATTGGCTAACTGAAGTGTGTATACAAGGGTGTTGACTGGATCACAAATTTTCTAAATAAAGGTTAGCATGAGCAATTATGACACTTTTCCGAGTTCTAATCCTATCACCCTGTATATTCTAGTAACTAGTGATTATATGAGGTGCAGAAGTCTTGAGATTACACACAAAATAAAAAATTGGTGTAAAAGAGTTTTCACTCCGAAGTTGCAAATAAATCGCTAGTAAATTTCACAATTACAATGAAAAGCCAAGTAACACACTGACTTAAACATGAAATTTCGAAGTTGGAAAAATTAAATGGTGTTTTCTTGTAAAAGTACAGTAAACTTTGAAGAATAACTTTTTACAGTGCACATTGGAAATGTGCATGCCGATATTACGGCAAAGTCGGGACATATAAAATAAGAAATTGTGAAATGTATTGTTTCCCCCCCCCAATTCAACTAATTAACATAACACGAGTGAAAATATAATTAATACAAAAAATTGGTAACACTTTACAATAAATTTCAGTTTACAGTAGTTATTGCATTTGCTTTGTACAAACAAAGAACAATACAGCATTTTAAAAATTGTATTTATATTTATTTATTTATAGGTCTAGGTTAATATCAATTTCTACTTTTTACTAATGCATTTTAACACTCAAGTTGCACAAATGTACATTATTTAATGTCTTCTGAACTTCATTTGTTTTCATTAAACTATCTTTATAAAATAACCTAAATGAATATGTTGTAGCGTGTAAAACTGAATGAATTTAACCTTATTGTAAATGCATACAAAAAATATTACATTAGAAAAAAACACCCCTTGTGTTTAGGTTGCGTAAGTATCTGGTATGCACAAATGTGCTTCTAATGAATGAACTACACTTGTCAACAATCTTCCTTTTGACATCACACTTAAATCAGGTACGTAACGCTGATGTTAAGATAGAATTGTGGTTATGTATTAGAGCTGAACACTGCTCTGTGAACACGGCGCGATTCACAGAAAGCGTGCTAATAAGAGTTCCTTAATCTGCAGCTCAAAATTGACGCACGCGTGCACTGAGCAGCTCCTGCCAGCTGCCACCATCACCCGGAAACCACAAACACAGGTCCTCACTCTCCCTACACACTTCCCTTAACGTCTCCCTCTCGTTTTGCTCCGTTCAGAACGGATGTGGTCAGACTGGGATTAGACAGTCACGCTTTATAGCTCTCTCCGATCGTGCTGCTCTGCGTTGATCATCTGGAAGTGGAGTGGGATGCTGGGATGTGTGCGGTGCCTGATGGATTAGTGTGTTTCCCTCCTCCTCCCTCGGCAGAAGGACACAGGCCTTAAATCCAGGTTTTAGCCAGGAGGGAGGGATCAGGGCTTATGATGCAACAGGTGCCCCATCCATCACAACAAGCTTGTGGTGGGGTACGGATGTCACCATGTTTTTTTTTTTTTGGTAAAAAGGTCGTGGAGTTTTTTTTTTTAATGGGATTATTTATCTTCACTAAAACAAGACACAATTCTGAATAGTGGCCATTTTATTTCCAAGACTGGATAAAAAGGGAAAGATGAACTCTGCCAATGTCACCATTCTTTCACCGGGGCAACACGGAAGAGTTCGGTTTCAACAAACCTTATATTTTACAAAAATGTACATATAAAGGATCTTGTTTTATGAGGTTTCAGTCGTATAAAAATTCAATCCTACCAGGAGCAGAAAACTTGATGGGTTACGGGTGGAAGAGGTGCTAAACCGTAACAAAACATCCATATTTGCATTATAGAAACAATACAAGAAGAGCTTGAGATAAAGAGATGAAATTATGCTTATTTCACTTTGCAATATATGCAATTACATCAGAATACATCCTCTATCATACCTTAGTCTTTCAATGTGTGATTTTGTGTTGTTCTAAAGATATGAGTGCACATCTAAACAAAAACATTTTAGAAAAATAAATAAATTAAACATTTCCCCCAGCAGTTTCATAGCAGAATCAGCTTCCAAAATGCTAATATCTCACAAGTATGTAAAGTTCTGTTCATGTTCTGAAGTATAAAAGTTGAACGATAGAGTGCTACATCTTCAGCCTCGTCATTGGTAAGTCGTCAATATTTATAGTTATTGATTAATAGTACAATATAGTGAATGTCTATAGATAGCACTGAGCGACAGTGCTCAAATTTCAGAACAATTCTGTACCGACAGGAAATGGTCTCATTCAATATACCACATAATCATTCAAGTTCATACAATGTTTTACATTGGGAGTTAATGTGAAATGCATACGAAGAATTCTACATTATACAAACTGACAAAAAAAAACTAAAAACATGTCATCTCAGTAGTCAATGGGATCTAACACTAAAATCGTAATGCACTTTACATATAATATATTAATGAAATGACTCCAATATGGCACAAGATGCTTCACACTGTATGTGTGTGTATATATATATATATATACACACACACACACAAACCTAGATAAAAACTGAGGAAATACCAAGAGTGACCAACACAAACCTTGTATGGGAAGAAATTAACAAATTATGCAAGTTTTTGAAGGTTGAAAATGTGGTTGACTTTTCTTTTGTTGTAATTGTAGACTAGAGAATCAATTAGCCTGTAATTCCAAAGTATCCTCTGCAATATATTTATCAAACAACAACAACAAAAAAAAAAGTGTACAAATTTACTAGGGAAAAAAGAGACCTGTGTACAATGTAAAAGAACAAAAAAAAAACGACAGGAAAAAAACTAAACTTTCCAACCCCCTGCAGACATGTGAACAGGTTCAAATATGATTTTTACATTATATTCCAGCAGCTACTTCACATAGGCGCCGAATGTCCTGTCCCACACACCTGCAGGGGTAGAGTATGTCACTGTTCTAGGGTCACCACTTCCACCGCCTGCCCGTCAAGCGTTACGGTGTTGTCGATGCGCGTGGTTATGGGAGCCATGGCCACCTGAACGGGTCGATTTCCCTGGGCCAAACTGGTGACGACAGTCTGATACATGCTGACTGGAATCTGGACGAGACCTGGAACGAGAAACAGACCCGTTACATTTATTCAAGACAATTTCTGATGGTACAAACTATTATTCAGAGATTTCGCTGAAGATGCTTAGCAGAACTGTGATGTCATCAGTGTAGGTGGTGGCCTTGTGGTTTGGGATGTTCGCAGTTGATATTTGAGACAGCTGGAAGGAAGGGTCTTTTGAAGTGCGGTCGGATGAGGCTGCGGAGTGTGTGTGCAATCGAGCGGCCTTGTTAAGAGTTTGCGTGCTACGTGGACAGGGCCGGCCCTAAAAAGCGGACAGAGGGCAGGGCTACTGCATCGCACTGCAATGCGGAATAATGGAGTAATTGAGGTAGCCGCTCCCAGCTTCCCTTTCTTTCTCTCCCTCTCTGACTCAAGGTAAACCCCTCTCTCTATCTCCAATCTACCTCTCTTTCCATGCCTAGCTGTGAGCGTAGCAGCCTGGATTACTGCTGCAGTCACATGGGGTGGGCGAGAGGGTGGCCAATCTGTCCGGGCTGCAAACTCATATGGGCAAAGCGGAAGGTCAGAACTAACTGCGACCAGTTGTCCCATCCACTGGATTTGTGCATTACGTGTTTACTCGGGTATAAGTGTGCCTAAAATAGTCTCACGATGCACAACCCCATCCCAGTGTCAAGGAATGGCTCATATTTCAATCAAACTCGCCACTTAGCCTGTGAGTTACTTTATCTCCAACACAATCTCCCCAAGCTATTTGTTGCTTATATTCTCAGCTTAACACAAAAGCAGATCAGTTTTGACGTTAAATTCATCTTAAAGCATGAAAAAAGGTTGAGTATTTTGTCTTATTGCCCCAGAATCCTTTCATGACCTCAAGAGTAATTCTCACAAAACCGGTCAAGAAATACTCATCACAAAACGCGCACAAAAAAGGTAATAAAATTAGAATTAAGGACAATTTTGACATGACAATTAAGTAACCCACCTAATTTGAATTACTGTAAATTCAAATAAATAAATATTAATTATATACATTTAAATAGTAAAGTTCTTATAATAATTCTAAAAACAATGACAATTAAGTTTCCTAATCAATGTCATAATTAGAACTAATAAAACATAATACATATTACAATACAAAATAATAAATATGATTTAACATTAAAAAAAAAATTATTTATATATATATATATATATATATTAATTTATTTTAAATGGTGATCCTTGGACTGAAAAAATCTCTCTCTCTCTCTCTCTATATATATATAGATAGATAGATAGATATATAGATAGATAGATTTTGGAATAAAAACTCTTAATTTCCTTGTAAGATTCACCCCTTAAAGAACATCAGAAAATAATTTTCTCTACATGGCATATGAGTGGCTCAGTCCAAATGCTCTGATTTCTCGTAATCACACCATGTCTCAATAATTGACGGGGAGTTTGGAAGCTTTTTTTTTTAAATTTATTTATTTATTTTTTTTGAGTGAAATGCTTACAAACCCTCAATCACACTGACACCGAGGGGTTTCTACGAGGCTTACGAAGCGAAAGAGGGGCACTGGAGCAGGAAACGTAAATCAGTCACGATTACCTCGGACCAGCCACTTCAAAGCTGCACCCGCACTGCCATTTCACTGATTGAATAAGCTCAATAAACGCTGGCTGTCCGTCAAGTGTCTGTTGTTGACTACGCTCTCTCCCAAGCCTCCCAATGCTGCAGCGTGTATTAGGTTTAATTGCGTAGTTTAAAGGTAAGGGCCTCATTTTGGGCAGAGATGGCTCTCTGGGACTCACTGCTGGTTCAGATGAGCAGTCAACATGCTCTGTTATGTTTGTGGGAAACGGGACGTACTAGCATTCTCTGAACACAAGCAACCTTTCTAGGGAAGGTCAGTGTTATATAAAGTGACATCCTTTTATCATGTAACTTCTTTCATTCACAAAAAAATAAAAAGATGATAAGGGGTCAACAGAAATCAACAGAAGGTCAGTTAAGAGATGGTGAGTCTACAATCCTCCTAAGCAGTGGGACCAAAAACGTATAGTTCAATATGTTAGCTAAATCATATTTCATTGTACAATTCCTAATAAACCTAAACTTGTACATTTTGAGTGATCAAATATATTAAAAGCAAAGAAAATCACAACCATGGTCAAATATTTATACCAAGAATGGGGAAAGGCCTGACACCCATGTCTTTAAATGTAGTTTTAATGCCTGCTAATCAGCTTTTATGTTTAAATACACCCCTTGTTCCAGTCTATTCTCTTAATGTCATGCAAGCGTGTGTGTGTTTTATACACTGGGCTTCCCAGTGCTGACAGCTGGCTCTGTGATTAGACTATGCACTGATAATGGAGAGGATCAAAGCCCTTTAAGAGGGTTCCTGGGGGGTTAGGAGGGGGAGGAAGAGGGGCTTCTCTTTGGTCACTGGGGGCAATGGGGTAAGTCAGGACACTAGGTAAGATAGGTCACTGGGAAATGGCCAGGCATTATTAGGCCAACTTTGGAGAACCATTTTACCCATTAAAATCAACATTAAATCAAATCAACCCCATTTACTTTGTTAATGCATGTTCATTAAGGATGCACCAAGTCAGTTGTCATTATTGATTGTCATAAATATGATGCAAAGTCTAAATCGACAATCACAATAATGATAAAAAGTAATTATCTAAATTTACATCAAATTTTTATAATTGATTTTATCTAATAATTTTGACTTTCTCTTATCATGACTTATTACCTGATAATTTCTACTAAATTAATACTTATGACTTTTAATGTCAATGTAAATTATTTTGACTCATTTTTATCTCATGACTTTTTTAAAAACTCTATGACTTGGTACCTTGTAATTTGATCTCATGTCATACTTAAGAGTTTTAGTGTCAATTTTAATTTAACAAATGCATGTTCCTGGTCTTACTGTTAATGAATGAATTATAAATAAATTAAGGATGCACCATATCGATTGTTGTCAGTAAATAGTTTAATTTGAATCTATAGGTGTTATTTTTATTACATTTATTAATTACTATAGAATTTTGTGTAATATTTTACTATAAGGTCCCATCAGTTAATGTTAGTTAATGCATTAACTAACATGAGCAATACATTTGTTAAAGCATCTTGGTGAATTAGTTTAAAATAAAACTTCATGTTAGCTCAGGTCTATCAAATAATACTAACAGACAGTTTTTAAAATAATGTATAAGTAAACGCTGAAATTAACATTAACACAGAACTATTTTTCAGTTAGTTGATGTTAAAGAAATGTGTTAACTGACATTATCAAATGGAACCTTATAGTCAAGTGTTTAGATTTTTGATATTGGCCATTTATTGATTATTAGCCATAACATCAAAAGACAAAAGTGAAAATCAAATAACTTGCAATAATTTTCCATTTCCACTGACATCAGAAATGTCACATTATGGAAGTAAAATGGCCTACAAAGGGAAATTTACTGTGACTGGAAGGATGTTATAGTAAGAAGACAAAAATGCATACATTTTTGATGATATTCTAGCTTCTTTCAATCTAACTTCTAGTATATCATAGCTAAAAAAGGAAACGTGCTACTTCACTATGCCGTAATGAATGCCTCCAGTACACATTAGCACTGTAACATGGCTTCTAATGCATGTGTAAGCATTAGCACTGGAGGCTGCCGCGCATATGCAGAGTGCTTAGTGGTTGAGGCAAAGCGAGGATTAGCGAGAAGTGTAGAGGCTGGAGTCTGTGACACAGGTCACACATGTGCCATCTGTTCCACAAACACCCTGGGGATTACAGTAGACCTCCACGGACTTCCTCACGCTCTGACACACCTTACAGGAGACACATACGTGCCCTCACATACCTAGACGAGTGATGATGAAAGGGACGTTTCTTCATATGTTTGCCCACCCTAAACTTTCATCCAGTAAGTGTGTCAGGAAGGTAAAGAGTGTAAATGTGGTTGCTTGTGATATAGAGAGGATCGTACCACTGCCATCCGAAACGCCAGTTAAAGCTCCTACTGCAGCCGCCGTTTCTCCTGCTAACACGATCTGTCCTCCGCCCTGAAGAGTCGCTTCTGCTAATGTCGCCACTGCGTGAGCTGCTGCTTCACTGCAACACACACACAAACACAAAATAAGGAAATAATCTCCCAATAACCCCGCTTTCATAAACATGCAATGCTTTATACAGGATTTAACCAGGATTTGAAGTGCGTTGATGTGGATTGGTGTGTACTGCCCCCTAGTGCAGGAAGTCACTCAAAGGCACCAGAAAATATTATAACCACTCTCCCATACAAGTTCAACTGGCTCTCATGATAGATGTCCAAAATACGTAACCCATTTCTGTCACTTAAGAAAAAATTTATGCTTTGGTAAATCATAATTATGACAAAGTCGTGCCATAATTTAGACTTTCTAAATTATAATTAAGAGAAAAATTCTAAATTATGATAAAGGAAATTTGATAGTATATCAAAGTCATAATTGACTTTCTATTTTGTCATTGAGATATAAAGTTGAAATTGATATACTAAGTCATAATTATGACTAAATCAAAATTGACATGAAAAGCTCAAATTGAAACGTTTGTCATTATTTCAACATTCTGAGTTGTAATTATGAGATGAGAAGTTGAAATGTTGAGGTAAAATCTAAATTTTAAACAAGTCAATAATGACAAAGCTGTCACGAAAAGCTTAAATTGATAAGCTCATAATTACGACAGCATAGAAAAATCTAAATTGACTAAGTCGAAATTATGTGAAGTCAAAATCGAAACACCAAGTCAAAATTGAAAAAAGTCAGACGAAACATCTAAGTTTTAATAATTTTGACTTCAATCAGCATGACGTTAATCATTATTTTGACTTCTCATAATTTTGTCTTATCTCATGATTTTTAAAATCTCATTACGCATCTTATGACTTTTGTGAAATTTGTCATACTTCATAATTTTAATTGAACAAAGCATGATTTTCTTTTGCGTGGTGTAAATGCGCTTCCATACTAAATCGAGTTTAAAGACTGTCTATTTGAGATAATGATAAAAATAAGGCTATTTACGGTGCTATGGGGCTTCAGTAGAGGAAAAGAACACTTTTTAAAAAAATTTTTTTTTTTTTTTTCTGTTTATAGATGTCCTGACTATGCTCAGCAGACTGACGGTGGATTTAATGCTTTAATGAAGGCTGCTGAGCAGAAAACAATGCCTCCTCAGCCTAATTGTTGTGGGAATGGAGTATCAACCAATTGTTCCTGCTGTGCTGTATTTCTGGGCTGTTGCTGCTTATACCTTGCTTGTGATAAACAGGAGAACAGGCTCAGGTAACAAGACCCTGGGGACATAAACCTGCACCTAGATGCTGCTGTGGTGGTTCAGTATTTCCTTTCTCTCTTTCTCTGACCCCGACTTCACCGCTACTTCCCATGAGTACCTGTTGAGTGCCATGGTAACAGTTGCCCCCTGCTGCATCTCTTGCGAGGCAGCAACCGCAGCTTCGGCTAAGGAGGCCACAGCCTGCGTGGCCTCCGACGGTTGCGTGGTCTGGATGGTCATCTCGCCTCCCTGTAGTGTGGCCCAATTCTGTTCCACCTTAGAGACCGAAAGAAAATAATAGGAGTGAAGGGAGAGATATGACCTAAATGCACCGCATGTGTGTAAGGACAGGAAAGAACATGCACGAGATGCAAACTCATGGAATATTCAGATAACAAAAAAGAGTGCGTGTTGACATTACCTCTCCATCTGTCACTGTGGAGTAATTCACCTGGGCCACCGTCACCGTGCCTGGCAATTCTGACGCATCTGCCAGTGTTGCTACCGTGGCTCCGGTGCCAACCTGTGGATTAGTTAACAAATTGGATGTTAGAATGCTGTTTGAAATACTATTTAAATACTGTCATGTGACCACTAGTGATTTGACATTTTTTTTCTAATTTAATATCTATTAAATTTTTTATATATATATATATATATATATATATATATATATATATATATATATATATATATATTAGAAGCTTAACAAAATTGAACATTTCAGGTTTGGGGTTGGTAAGACTTTTTAATGTTTCTGAAAGTAGTCTCTTATGCTCCCAAGATTGTTTGTAAAGCTCAAATACAGTAAAAACAGTAATAGTCAAATAGCTTTACAATTATTTTATTACAATATATTACAACTTTTCAACATTAATCTATTTTAAAATGTAATTTCTGTGATGGCAAAGTTGAATTTTCAGCAGCCATTACTCCAGTCTCCAGTGTCACATGATGCTTCAGAAATTACTGTAATATGCTGATTTGGGGCTCAAAAACATTTGATTATTATTATTAATATTAAACAGTTGTGCAGCTTAATACTTTTGTGGAAACCATGCCAAAAAATTCAGGATTGTTTGATGTATTGGAGTGTTCGTTCAGAAGAACAAAATTAGTTTGAACAGATTTTTTTTTTAATAACATTGTAAAACTCAATTTTTGAAAATAAAAAACAAGTTACATGTATTAAAGTAAATAGTAAGTGTATATAGTCATGTTGTCTTTAATATTACTTATTAGATATATAGTTTTTATATTTCGGTCTACCCCTGATCTAAATGAAGTCTTCCAGTGAAGCTAATTTATATCGTAGTGAAAAACAACCGTGCAGTTGTTCCCACAGCTGGGACCTGAGCTCACCTGTATGAGCGAGACGGTTCCATCAGGATTACTGATCGTCTGCACTACGGTCTGTGACGGCACCAGGTGCGCAATGCTGTGAGTGGTTGTTGTGGCAACTTGTTGTGTGGTGATCTGGTCCTCAAAGGCATAGAGCAGGTCCTCTCTCCCATGCTGCTTATAACAGTTTTTAACAATAGTCCTCAGGGCTTGCGTCCATGACACCTGTTTCCAACGGAAATCAGCCCTCGACAAGTCAAGATGATGCAAGCTTTAGCTCATTTGTTTCAATTCAGATATAATTTTGTGGAAAGCTGACAATTACGGTGTGGCTGATTCAATGATTTGTTTGCGTCATTACTCGTGGCATTTTTCATACAATAAAATGTTTGTCAAAATATGTGGACAATTATTGCTAATTACTGTGTACTGTTAAATTGGTGCATATAAAATAAAATCAGAATATTTGAACCCAAATTTCTATTGCATTTTTCTTCTTTCAGTAAACATAACACCTTGGCTGCAGATAAATGAAATTAAAAATTAAGCATTTTAAAATTGTAACCAAACACATATCAGGAATATGGACAAAACTCTAAAGAATATAGAGTTATTATTTTTATGGCCGTATGTGAGAACTTAACACTACCCTCTGTTTCTGCTCCTCTGTTCGGACATCACTGCGTACGTTGGCCCAGGGAATGTCCTCCGGCCACCAGATGGGCTTGCAGCTCTCTTTCCCCCAGCCAGGCTTCCCACGGCCTGTGGAATACTTCAGCATTTCTGGAATGAACGCTCGGAGCTGGGCCTGCAAAGCAACAAAGGGCACACATAATCACAGTGGGAGCTTTTATACTGGGAGTGGCAGAGCAAAGCATGGCCTCTGGAAAAATAAAATCTGTGAAAAAGATTTGGAAACAGCAAGCCATTGATTTTCCTCTTCCTTCTGCAGCTGAGTGCAGACAGTCTGTCCACACATATAGCTTGTGAAAAGCTAAAAGTAGACTATTAGGTTTCTATTAAAAGGCTAATCTATGGGTGAGGCTCCAGCGCACACTGACTGCAGAAGATGGACAGGATGGAACGTACACCACTGAACTAGATTATGTAAAAGTAATACTTTTAAGGTTGGTACACTGTTTAAAAGTTTGAGATTAATACTTTCTTTAAAAAAAAAAATTATTGCTTTTATCCAGCAGAGATGCATTAAATTGATTGAAAGCGACTGTAAAGACATTTATTAATATTATGAAATTTTTTCATTAAAATGAATGCTGCTCTTTTGAACATTCTATTCAATAAGGTTTTTTTATTCAAAAATGTATTATGGTTATGATCATGTGACACTATAGACTGGAGTAATGGCTACTGAAACTACACAGAAATAAATTACGTTTTAAAGGGGTCATATGATGCGATTTCAAGTTTTCCTTTCTCTTTGGAGTGTTACAAGCTCTTGGTGCATAAAGAAGATCTGTAAAGTTGCAAAGACTAAAGTCTCAAATCCAAAGAGATATTCTTTATAAAAGTTAAGAGTCAGCCACGCCTAAAACAGCTCGTTCTGACACGTCCCCACATGTCTACGTCACTATGTGGAAATATTAGCATAATGACGCCCAAATGTGTACACAAAGAAAGAAGGCGTGGTTTCAGGAACAGCAGTCGTGTTGAAGCAGCCATGTCAGGGAGACGGTGTGTGTTTCAGTGCGAAAGCAAAAGCACTTTATTTGGCCTTCTGGTAGTAGATGCAATTAGGAATCCTTGGTTAAGATTTATTTACAACAGAACAGCACAACCCAGATGTTCGAATTTGTACAACGCATTTTATGGACGACAGTTTTTTGAACCTAGAAGAGTACAAAGCTGGCTGTGCACAAAGGCTATTTCTAAAAAAAAAAAGGGTCAATTCCGACTTTGCTATGACAATCTGGCGCTTCTGAATCAGCGACTGTAAGTATGTTTTGTTATTAGTTTAAGTATTTGCTATTGACT